CCTCTTTAATAGATGACTTTTTGCGTACGTACATGCACAAAAGGTTAAAACCAAATAAATAATCACTGTACTTTTTTCCTTAAATTTTATTTTTCCTATGGGAATGACATTTGCTTCACTAAGGCAACGTTATTCTTGTCTTAATTAAACAAACTGAATTCCCACCAAACCTAATATTTTCACACAATTACCATCCCTTTTTACCTACCTATACTTTCTACCTTTCTATGTCCAAAGGGGCAAATGATTTTCCCATTTGCAGAAAACTACTCATGGGATCGTTGAGTTTGCCTTTCTTCTGTGCCTCGACGTCATCCTTATCTTCATCTTCCTCTTCTTGTTCTTCAAATTTCGTTATTGATTGGTATTTGACTTTTTCTTGATAAAATTTGACTATGAATAAATAAAGTGAAACTGAAAAAATTGTCACACCCACGACGTACCAACTGAATTGAATGTTGACTAGAGATTTAGCTCGTTCTAGGGCTTCTTCCCTGTGGCACCGGACAACTTTGTGACCTTTTTCCAAGTTCATGAAACAACCTTTGGGTATGAACTCAGGTGTCCAAAGCATGAACCCCATGACCATAAGCCAAACACCTTGGAACATAATGCTAATAGACCTTGCAAAGCTATTCATGAAACTCTTGGGATAATTTATGCCCAAAAGAGTGGTTGCAAAAGAGGTGAAGATTGCAATTTGAAGAAGCCAATGGTATTGGCCCTCAATCCCCATATGATCAGCAGAGTGGAGATGGAAAAGTAGTATCTGCTGGCCAAAGGCTATGGCACCAAGCATATAGGTGAGTCCATATTGTGTTGGTGGAGCAAGTTTATCTAGTAGAATTGAGAAAGCTGCATACACGAAAAGGGTGATGGAAATATTTGAATGTTCAAAGTTTTGGAGATGATTGGAAGGGATGGTTCCGTCAGGATCTAGAGGTTGGTGGCGGTCTGGGCCGATAAAAAGCTCCATGGCTATGGACATGGTGCTGCCTGCCATGATCAAGAAAAGCTCTAAATACCTTATCTTTGAAGTTGGGAACCATGGCAAAGATGTGTAGGATTTTGGGCTAATGACATGGTTCTTGATGTGGTTAATCAAGTGCCAAAACCCAATGATAAAGAAGCCAAATCCAGGTGCCACATGCCCCACAAGACTTCCCATGTTTAGTGTCGAGAACGTTGAGGAGAAGGACAAAAAATGGATGTTAGATAAAAATGGGCACGAGAAGAGGGGTTTTATATGTAGTAGAAGAAGAAATTTTGAAGGTCTAGAGGGTTCCATGAGGGGTAGAAAGTATGAAAATTGGAACTTTTGACTTGAGGAATAAATTAGACTAATTAGTAATGAGTTGACCAAAGACCCTTATCTATTATTAACTTGGATATGAGATGAGGTGGGCAACGGAATAAGTTAGATTAACTAGTAAAGAGTTGATCGAGACCCTTTTCTATTAACTTGGATACAGAGGAATTGTTGCCAGAAATCCACAGCTAATTCTCGACAAATTGCTATCAAATGTCTTCTGATAGAATTTTGACAGTAATTTTCTTTACATGCGACAGATCTGACTTTGATATGAGATGAGATGCGCAATTTTTAATTCTAGAACACATAGAGGACAATTGAACTCTTTAAAAAAAAAAAAAAACATTAATTACCATGCTTATTGTTGACATTCATTCACCACGAGAACTAATTCAACTGAATAAGCCCCTCATCTCAGATCATGTAAATAGTTTTATGGTGTGTTAATTTGATTGATTTCGATACCTAATTCTACTAGTTTAGTAACGAAAACTTTCAAAGCGCGAATGCTCAAAGGGCAATTAAACTCTCCAAAGTGTCAAAACATTTAATGTGCGTTTTTTGATATTAACTCAACATGAGAACTTCAAATTCAACTGACTCGGTTGTATTATATGTACATAATAATTTACATACATATAATGTGGTGATATATAATTAGGACAGAATTTCTTCAACTTTCTTCAATCAAATTTAAAAAATAAAAAAATCTCCACTTTCTTCTTGACACATTATTAGTATATAAACCATTATGTAACTTCATTATGTACAAAAAACATTATTCCAACTAAATACGCAAACAAATTACTAGGTATGGAAAACATTCTTTTACTTTGAAAAGCTAATTCTCCTAATTTTCCCTCTTTATCTTATATTTTCGATCGAAATTAAAATAATCCTACTTGTACATAATCATATACAGATAGATTTATTGATTGATGGTATTGATAGTATTAACTGACTTCATTTCATTCATTCTATTTTCTCTCTCTTCTACATCATCAATATATAAACCAATCTATGAGCCTATTCGGTAGGGATTTTGAGAATTGATTTTTTTACGGTTAGAAGAAAAGTGGGGGCCATTTGTGAGAAAAGAAGTAAAAAATGATGGTTGAAATAGTGAAATAACAATCAAAAAATCAATTTTCTGAGATGAAAAATCACTCCCAAACAAGCTATATATACAATAGGGACTAACTTGTCACCGAACAATAGGTTAGGGACTAGTGATGCAATTATACCCTAATTTTCGATTATACCTAATACATCCCTAAGATTAGAATATAAATGACTCGTATGATTGGACATGAGATTACTTTATCCTCGACGATCACATCATGAATAATTAGCGAATTAAACTAAGCAAAATGGAATGGCAGCGTGAGTTGAAAACAAGCAAGGAAAAAGCGAAGCTGATGATAATCTTGTTTGATAATAACTATGATCACTTTATTACGATGATTCGTTAGCAAAAATTTGGTGGGTCGAACTCTAATAACTGGCTTTAAAGGATCACGTGTATCGTGCTGACTGTGTTGCAAACTCGAATAAGAATTAATAAAAAAAAAATTTCTTTAATTCTCTCAATCAAGAACGTTACTATATATTCATTAAACTTTATAATGAAGATATATAGATTTACAATCGTACATAAATTGATAATTATTTTTTTATTGGATCTGAATCACCAACTTCAAATTTTGTAATTCACAAATTTTCAACTTTTAATTCAAGAACTTGGTGATTCAATCCCTCGAGTCTTCCATGGTATTTGCCAGAGAACTTGTTCTCTCAATCCTTTTTTTTTTTTTTTGAGAATTTCGCCAGAGAACTTGTTCGAGTCAAGGAGGAGTTCTTCCCAAATCCAATTATTCGATAGAGTAAGTCTCGAGAGTATTCGCCAATATCTCTTTCGCCAGCTCTCCAATGAAGAAATTATCATTCAGCTCAAGCACTTCCAACGGTGGCAAATTGAAACACCCCATCGGAATTGTTCTGTTTAAGTAATTCTTCTTTATTCTGATCCGAGTCAAGGACTTGCACTCACCCAACTCATTAGGAATCGGACCATCGAAAGAAGTATCCAATAAGTGACTCTTTAAGCACAGTGCTTAATAAAAAAATTTATAGCTGAGGGTTTCATGATAAGTAGTCATCCAGAACTTCTAAATTTTCGAAATCGACACTACTTGATAACACTTTATAAGTACAATAATTGTGCAGGTAAAATGTCACGTCAACATTGATGTTATTAGTGCACCTTTTGAACCTTTATTAAGCATGCCAATTTAAAGGTTAACCCCTAACCTTAAGGGTCCCCCACCACCACTGCTCTGGAGCATCGTGAGGGAGGTAAATTGCAAGTTATGCCTCCAAGGGTACAGGGTGAAAGGCTGCTTGTATACTTGCACTTACCCAAGAGAAAAATCCATATTTCAGGATTCGAACCCTTGACGCAGCAGCTTCAAGCAAAGTTGGATTTCTCCACCCTCCCCTTTTACCACTTGAAGATGTGCCCTGGGGGCTTAAGCATGCCAATTTAGCATTGACACACGTTGGACTATTTGTATCTCGAAATCATCTTGTATCGAAAAGAATCAATAGTTACTGAACAATTTGTTTTAAAGAAAATATCGTTGGTGATTATTTATTAACAAAAGAATAAATAAAATAATAATAATAATAATAATAGCAAAAATATAAAAATGAAAAGTGCACTTAGAGATTGCATTCTTAGCCCCTGTTTAGTGTAAATTAAAATAAGATATTTAGTAATATTTTTTCTAAAAATTGATGAAATATGTAGTTAAAAAGTTCCAAGTCTTATGAAATGTAAAGTTAAAAATTATTTATTGACTTTGATTTTAAAACCAAATTTTAATCTATACGAACCAAAGACTTAATTTCATCAATATGTTGAAATTTCATCATTTAATTTCTAAGTGTAACGCTAGTTAACCTTATTGGGATTATAATCTTAGTTTATGTACTTTGAAAAGCTAATTCTCCTAATTTTCCCTCTTTATCTTATATTTTCGATCGAAATTAAAATAATCCTACTTGTACATAATCATATACAGATAGATTTATTGATTGATGGTATTGATAGTATTAACTGACTTCATTTCATTCATTCTATTTTCTCTCTCTTCTACATCATCAATATATAAACCAATCTATGAGCCTATTCGGTAGGGATTTTGAGAATTGATTTTTTTACGGTTAGAAGAAAAGTGGGGGCCATTTGTGAGAAAAGAAGTAAAAAATGATGGTTGAAATAGTGAAATAACAATCAAAAAATCAATTTTCTGAGATGAAAAATCACTCCCAAACAAGCTATATATACAATAGGGACTAACTTGTCACCGAACAATAGGTTAGGGACTAGTGATGCAATTATACCCTAATTTTCGATTATACCTAATACATCCCTAAGATTAGAATATAAATGACTCGTATGATTGGACATGAGATTACTTTATCCTCGACGATCACATCATGAATAATTAGCGAATTAAACTAAGCAAAATGGAATGGCAGCGTGAGTTGAAAACAAGCAAGGAAAAAGCGAAGCTGATGATAATCTTGTTTGATAATAACTATGATCACTTTATTACGATGATTCGTTAGCAAAAATTTGGTGGGTCGAACTCTAATAACTGGCTTTAAAGGATCACGTGTATCGTGCTGACTGTGTTGCAAACTCGAATAAGAATTAATAAAAAAAAAATTTCTTTAATTCTCTCAATCAAGAACGTTACTATATATTCATTAAACTTTATAATGAAGATATATAGATTTACAATCGTACATAAATTGATAATTATTTTTTTATTGGATCTGAATCACCAACTTCAAATTTTGTAATTCACAAATTTTCAACTTTTAATTCAAGAACTTGGTGATTCAATCCCTCGAGTCTTCCATGGTATTTGCCAGAGAACTTGTTCTCTCAATCCTTTTTTTTTTTTTTTGAGAATTTCGCCAGAGAACTTGTTCGAGTCAAGGAGGAGTTCTTCCCAAATCCAATTATTCGATAGAGTAAGTCTCGAGAGTATTCGCCAATATCTCTTTCGCCAGCTCTCCAATGAAGAAATTATCATTCAGCTCAAGCACTTCCAACGGTGGCAAATTGAAACACCCCATCGGAATTGTTCTGTTTAAGTAATTCTTCTTTATTCTGATCCGAGTCAAGGACTTGCACTCACCCAACTCATTAGGAATCGGACCATCGAAAGAAGTATCCAATAAGTGACTCTTTAAGCACAGTGCTTAATAAAAAAATTTATAGCTGAGGGTTTCATGATAAGTAGTCATCCAGAACTTCTAAATTTTCGAAATCGACACTACTTGATAACACTTTATAAGTACAATAATTGTGCAGGTAAAATGTCACGTCAACATTGATGTTATTAGTGCACCTTTTGAACCTTTATTAAGCATGCCAATTTAAAGGTTAACCCCTAACCTTAAGGGTCCCCCACCACCACTGCTCTGGAGCATCGTGAGGGAGGTAAATTGCAAGTTATGCCTCCAAGGGTACAGGGTGAAAGGCTGCTTGTATACTTGCACTTACCCAAGAGAAAAATCCATATTTCAGGATTCGAACCCTTGACGCAGCAGCTTCAAGCAAAGTTGGATTTCTCCACCCTCCCCTTTTACCACTTGAAGATGTGCCCTGGGGGCTTAAGCATGCCAATTTAGCATTGACACACGTTGGACTATTTGTATCTCGAAATCATCTTGTATCGAAAAGAATCAATAGTTACTGAACAATTTGTTTTAAAGAAAATATCGTTGGTGATTATTTATTAACAAAAGAATAAATAAAATAATAATAATAATAATAATAGCAAAAATATAAAAATGAAAAGTGCACTTAGAGATTGCATTCTTAGCCCCTGTTTAGTGTAAATTAAAATAAGATATTTAGTAATATTTTTTCTAAAAATTGATGAAATATGTAGTTAAAAAGTTCCAAGTCTTATGAAATGTAAAGTTAAAAATTATTTATTGACTTTGATTTTAAAACCAAATTTTAATCTATACGAACCAAAGACTTAATTTCATCAATATGTTGAAATTTCATCATTTAATTTCTAAGTGTAACGCTAGTTAACCTTATTGGGATTATAATCTTAGTTTATGTGACATTAAATGATAAGTACAATTAAATAAATCATTTAATTTCACATTTCAGTTAGTATATCATTTAATGCTACATTAGCGCCACATAAATTTGTTATAATCTGACTAAATATCATTATTCAATTTCCAATGCATCCTGTTAATAACTTGAGTTTACGTATTAATAACCATTATCTTGGTATAATTGTTCACATTATTTACAAAATTTCTAATGTTACTAATCATCCTAAATACTTTTTAAATAACTTTTCTTTATCAAAACATGTAGCATGTAATGTCTACGAAACTTCACAATAAAAATTGTAAATTTTACGTACTAAACGTGTTATAATACTTAGCAATAATAAATAATAAATAAATAATTTCGTAAGTCAATGAGTCATGACAAGAATAAAGAGAGATTGGAAATGAAAGTGGGAAACGACCACCGATTTCTATAGTCCCTTTTGTGAATAATATTCCACTTTGCCTTCAATGCCACCCTAAAACACACATATTTTTGTCAATCTGTATATAATAACCAGGTTAAATACTCTGAAGTTTCCACCCATATTTCTCTTCATACCCATGAACTTTAAATTGTTTATATTTAATCATCTTAAAAGATCAAATGTTATTATATCTTTCATTTGTGCAATATTACTCTTAATATACCTGATTTGTTTAAGTAAATCAACCTTGAAATTTGAATGTTTTTCATGTTTAATGAACAGTAATACCATATTAAAACATGTGGTTCTATCTTAAAAGACAAACATTCAAAATCGATTGTTAAATACTCCTTTTTAACGACAAAATATTCGGTTGTTCTTTTTTTTCTTTTTTCTTTTTTTTTTTTTTTAAAATCTACCCCCGTTTGCAAAATCAACATAAGGGTTAATGGAACGTTAAGTTAGATGGATGGAGGGACGGATGAGAATCAGATTTGGAAGTTCAATGGTTTATTAAAAACAAAATAAAGTTCACGGAAGTGTTTCTAACATGGCTAGATAAAAATTGTAGAAGTTAATTTTTTTCAGTGGTGAATTGAACATACCCTATATGTAGTGTCATCTTCATTGCTCTATCAACTTTTCTCTTTAAAGGTTACAAGTTGATTCTAGAGTACATCAACAATAACTTTAAAACATCTATATATACAATGGAAAGACCCTTCGTATATCTTGCTATCAAAGACTTCAAATATTCAAGAGAGATGACTAGATATTACAACTCTACTCACTAAGATTATCTCCAATATATGTCACTACCAAAATAATAATTCTTCTTAGAAATGCGCCAAATACCGTGCCTAGCCGGCTTCACTTTTTAAAGTCATTACTACTTCAATGTGATTAAGGTTCAAATTTGTACCTTTGATAAAAGAAAGAGATAATGTGTATGAATGAGTCACGTATTCGTATTATGAGTTCTATGAAGAGATGATGTGTATGCATTATTCTGGTAATACGTAATTAGCAGCGAACCATATCATATTATAGATCAAGGGCCAAATTATTGGAAGAATTTCACAAGTTCAGAGCATTTTGTTCAAATTAATTTTTGAATGGGACAATGCTTTTCTAATTGGAAGAATACCCTTCTCTGCAATACTTCCTCAGCGACGAGTCGATACGACTAAAAAAACCACACAAATTGGGAAGTAAACTTCATGCATAGAGTGGAATATGAACTTACTTATTTGAGCAGTTCCACAAGTCTGTTAAGTAACTCGAGTTCTTGATGTTCTTCGCATTGACAGTATGCCTGGCATAATTAACAAGGAAATTGTATCTGGTCATTAGAATCTTTGACTTCTTTACTGAGAAAATGGCAGGTCTTTCTCCCACCAAAGATCTCATGGAGGAGGGATTGTTGCCCATGGCCGCAGCTCTGCATCTGATATTCTGGATCGATCATTTTCATATATCGATCTGCTAGAATATGGTACTGTTTCATATCACTCTCTCCACCACATGCCCTTCAATATAGATCCGATATCAAGAAACCTTTATAATCATCGGTAGCACTGTCACCAATCCCTTGTCCTTAGAACGTCACCAATAAATAAGCAATGCATTTTGGACCGTCTCTATCTTCCAACAAACGCTTTCGTGCTATGTAGAATTCAAAGATGCAAAAACTGAGTCATTTAGTCACTCGAACTAGATTATCTTACAACCTGTTCGCCACTGCCCTCTGAACAACCACTAGGAAGCTGCACCCAACTGTATCCAGGAACTTTTACCAGACCTTTCTCTTCCATGGAAATCCTCAGTTTATCAACGTCATCACAATATCCAGATGGAGAAGACACACTGGCAGCAAGCACATAGTTTGCTCCAAGGTCAGGCTCTATTTTGAGCAGAAGTTGCTTCAAATGTTCGTTGCCATATAAAATGCACCCATGTTGTTTGCAAGAGCTAAGATAGCTCCTCAATATAACAGAGTTTGGTTCCATTGGCATACCCATAATAATCTGGTAAGCTTCTTCAATCTTCCCAGCGCGCCCATACAAGTCAACAATGCATCCATAATGTTCCATAGTTGGCTTGATATTGTAATCATTCACCATTTTTTCAAAAAGCTCTTGCCCCTTTTCAACAAGAACATTGTGACTACAAGCACACAGAATTGTTGAAAATGACTTGCCGTCAGGCCTCAGTCCAGTTTCTTCCATTCTGGTAAACAAAGATATAGCTTCTTCTCCATTGCCATGATCTGTGAGGCCAGAAATCATGGCAGTCCAAGACTGCAGATTTTTCTCGCTCATGGAACTAAATATACAGAAGGCTTCCTCTATGAGACCACATTTTGCATACAAATTAAGCAGGGCTGTTCCCAGAGAAACATGCAATTCGATACCATTAACAAGTAGGTAAGAGTGAATGGACTTTCCATGTCTGATATTGAGGAGATTGGTACAGGCAGCAATCAAACTGACCAAAGTAACCAAGTTTGGCTTTTCATTTACCATGTTCATCTCTCGAAACACCATTAAAGCACCCAAAGGACGTTCACTATAAGAATTAAAAGCTCAAAAGAGTGAGACAAATAACAATATATTGCATCACAAGAAAACAAAATGAAAAAAATTGTACATCACGCTTAAAACAAAAGGAAAAGGAAGATACCAGGAAACAGGTTCAATAATCTGAAGAAATATGAAAAATGCAATTACATTCTTTACTTTCTAATTTAATACCAACTATGGGAAGACTTCAAAATAAAAGCCTGCCACAGAAATATATTTTTCTAAACGCGTGTTTGCTATATGTTTGTACAAGTAGTAAATTTGAGTGACATTTGGACCTGCACAAAAGAAATTCTGTCGCATGACATACATGGATGGTAGTTATTATTCAGCTGAAATGATCAAATGCACTACTATGTGTCATGCCACGCATATATAAAAATTAATGATGGCTTCAGTTCAAGCTATATCGACTCATCCCAGGCAAGACTTGAGGGGAATATCTAGAACACATGTTGTAAAATTATCATTTCTAACTTTTTTTAACTAAACAGTACTTGTTTAAAACAGATTCAACACAACAAATATATTATAAATCTAATTCAGCAACTCTTGAGAAGATATTCATTAACAGTGTACTCTCCCCTCCCACCATATCCATCGCACCTCATTCCTTCCAAATGGTATATTGCTTGGACTATCATCATGCGAAGATAGAGCACTCAAATACATTCTGCCTGGCTACAACTCAAATGCATTTTTCTCGATCCATTGTTCTCTTTTCGTTTTTTTTTTTCTTTGAAGGGGGGACAGTAAACTTGTCTGTAGTAAGATAGATTCAAGAATTGATTGCAGGGTCTCAGTACTTCCAATTGGATCCATGGCATGATGGCAACATCCTCCAAAATAATTCATGAAACAAAAGTTCACGTATAAGGGAGAAAAGGAAATCCAATCAATTTACAAAGAGAAGACATATTAAAAATGTTCGTACCAATCAACATAACCGGCAATTATGGAGCTCCAAGACACTACATCTCTGTCAGCCATTTCATCAAACACTCTTTGCGCAAAATCAATTACACCACACACACCATAAACCCTCAATAGCGTATTGTTCACATGTGGATCCAAACCAAAACCCGACTTCAAAACCATAGAATGCACGGATCCACCAACACCAAGCATGGAACAACGCCCACAAGCCTTGATCACAAATGGATAGGTAAACTTGTCGGGTTTGAGCCCACCAACTGTTCGAAGTAATTTTACAAAGAGTTTGATGCACTCAATTGGAGTTGACGAGTTGTTGGAGTATTCTTTGATCATTGTATTCCACGCAAAGAGCGGTGGAGGAGAAATGGGTGAATAATCAAAGATTTTTCGCGCATCATGGAGGGAGATAGAGGTGGCGTAAAGTATGAGTTGAGAGAAGAAGTATTCGTGGTGGTCGAGGGAGGTTTTGAGGAGCAAACAATGGAGGTGGAGGATTTCAATGACCGTTTTTGACCGTTGGAATAGAGTTTGTATATGGCGGGAAATTATCATAATTTCCAGATTCGAGTCTAATTTCTGCAAAGCGTCTATGGCGATCCTTAGTGATGTCGAAATGGGCCGGGTCGCCAAGGCCTGAGACAACCCGACTAGAGTACAACGGCAACAACTGTCCTGACTTCAGATAATATTTCTCGTGTCTCCAAATTCGCATCAAACTTCTTCGATTTTCCCCCTTTTTTTAAAAAAAAAATTGCCAAATCTCTCTTTTGAATTACGCCCCCTGTTTGTTTGCCATTTATTCCTCCATTTTTGAAGAAATTAAGCCGTTTATAGGCCCCACCAAACCTCTTTTTATGATTGCCCTCTCACAATTTTTAAAAGAGTGATGCTACAGAAGCCCAGATAAATCCCGGGCTCCGTTCCAGAGCCGAGGTAGCACATGCCTCGGCCCTTGATCTTTAATACATGGGGCCCACTCCCCTTTGCACCAGGGGCTGGGATTTCACCACCTCAACCCTTGGATCGGAGCCAGGGCTGTGCAGCATTTTTCTTTTTAAAAATGTCAGGAAACCAACGGTTAAAAAATGCATTGTGATTTGTTAAAAATAGGAAACAAACATGGGCTATAAGTGAATAATATAAGTTACCTAGTACCAGTTTGATGGCTATTATTGGAAAAAAAAATGATGTTTTGAATAACAAATTTTTTGAGACAATGTGGTTAAAAAGTAGAAAATTTTTGAATTTAGATACAAAATATTTTATAATGTGAATGTGTGGTGAAAAATGAGTATGAATATTAAATAATTTTATTTTAACAAGTGACAAATAGGGGAACATCTTGGGATAGGAATGGCATGGAGCAAGTTTAAAGACGATCATTCATTATCCCGCCATGTTGGGGATTTTTGCACCATGTCTTTCTTAAGACGGGGTGGGCACGTCGGTTTGGGACACAACACTCATTTGCCACGTTTATTAGTTTATACATATTTTTTATTTTTAAGTTTGAAATTTTTTATTACAAGGAGATAAATATACTGATGTATAGATAGAAACAGAGAGAGATGGCTACTCATCTCTCCTCAGCTCTTTCAAGATTTCCTTTACAACGACCCATTCTTCATCAAACCACAGTAAGTTTCTGCTATTTTTCTATGGGCACACCCAAATTCTTATCTTTGGTTGTTCTAGCTCATGAAATAAATATTGAATTTTGTGCTTTCATATCCTGATATAATCCCTATTCATTTTAACGTATTGTGGACTTGCACACTCGTTTTATTGATTCTATAAATAAACTATAAAGTTTCAGGTAAGATATGAAAGGCCAGAAGGGCATGGTTCGTTCTTTCTTGAATTTTACCACACTTATTTCTCCACGTGAATTACTCATGTACCGTTTATGCAGGCTCAGACACATACGGTTCATGGTTCTGGAGGAAAATTTTGAAGAAATTAGTATTTCATCTTGTTCATTTTCCTGGTATTACTCTGCATATAATTTTCATTTTCATCTTCGTTCCAAGAGTAAGTGTTTGAAGGTCGTGTGGTGGAGTTGGATTGATTCTGTTAACTGTGTTGGAAAAAATTGAGTGAGCAGCTTACTTTTGACACAATTTTCGATGGGACCCGTTGGTCAAATGTGGAATATCAAAGTTGATATGTGTTCTCCTCCGCGAGAACATCGATTTCATGTATTTATTTGCCAAAAATGAAACTTGGGTGAATGAGAAATTAGAACTCAAAGTTGGTCATTGAAAGTTGGTTTTGTGGGAAAAAATGTATTTATTCCACATAGGAAAATCAAAAAAACTCAAACCACTTTATATATAGCTATGCTTTGAAGATGTGTAATCATGTGTAGCATAGAGGCTCTCTTCACGTGCGCGCGCAGGGGGTGCAAATCACGAACCAAAATGGCATTCGGACCTTGAACTTGGATGCGGGCGCGACCTGCACACACGAATGTCGGACCGAACAAAGCAAAAATGGCCTCATCAGAGAGCCCACGTTTTGCCAATTTTTTTTGGTCTTCTTCAATGACTTTTGAGTTTCTAAACTGAAAAAACTCCAATAGACTTCCAATGGTATTAATGGGCAATATGCCTAGAAAAAGGCTCATTCTCCAACAATCTAACACATTCAAAAATCTCAACTACATTCCTGTATATACAGTTTCTTCTTTTCTGCTGCTCAAACTGAACTTCTAGCACCTGCGGTGAGAGGGCGAAACTGTCTTAAGGAAACTGTGTACGCACAGACCTCGGTTTGAAATTTGCTGCAGTTTGTGTTTTCTTTCTGCAGATTTATTTCGTTGCAATTCGTGTAGTTTCTTTGCAGATTCAGTTTCAATTTATTTCTGCAGATTATTTTTGCATCAGTTTCCATTTATTTCTGCATATTATTTTCCCATTACTATTTAATTCATCGTTTACAGTTTTAGCCTGCAGTTAACTTATATTTCTGATTTTATGTTGCTAAACATTTTTTTCCAGCCGTTGGAAAATTCTGAAACGGAATTTTTTTGATAAATTGAAATCGTTTCCCTTGTGGTTATTAATTTCAATAGTCGGCTATTGCATTTGAATAAAACTTATACAATCGGTTTCATCCATTAGCGACTTGTTTTCCTACAAGCTTAAGATTGTTTCTAAATTCGGAAAACAAGAGTTGGTTTTTTGATTAATTGAATTTTAGTTACTTGGAACTAATATTTGTTTTTCAAAAACTAGAGTAGTTTTTTTTTTGTTTCATTGAATTGTAGTTTCTTGGAACTAATATTTGGTTTGTTTTCAGAAATGGAAACCGAATCAAACAACATAGATGTGACCCAAAATGTTCCCGCTGTAAATCAGGCTGTGGGTTCTAATGTGGCTCAAGGGCCAAGCTCCGTTGTAGCTCAGACTATGGCTAGAATGTCAAGTCATATTGTGAGCCAAACTAGCCAAACTATAACTGTTCCAGTTAATCATGGAAAAAAATCGAAGAAATTCAATGGCTTGAATTTCAAAAGGTGGCAGCAGAAAATGCTTTTTTACTTGATCACCTTGAATCTTGCAAGATTCTTAACTGAAACTGCTCCAAAGCTTAATAAAGGCGAGGGAGATGTGCAAGCATTGAGTGCACTTGATGCTTGGAAGCATTCGGACTTTCTGTACCGAAATTATATCATGAACAGCCTAGCAGATGCGCTGTACAATGTGTATAGCACCATAAAAACTGCTAAGGAATTGTGGGAGTCCTTGGACCGGAAATACAAAACTGAGGATGTCGGGGCTAAAAAGTTTATAGTCGGCAAATTCCTAGACTATAGATGGTAGACTCCAAAACTGTTATCAGTCAAGTGCAAGAACTCCAAGTGATCCTTCACGAAATTCATGCCGAAGGAATGATGTTGAGTGAAACTTTTCAGGTGGCTGCAATTATAGAAAAATTGTCCTCCGTGTGAAAAGATTTCAAGAACTATTTGAAACACAAACGAAAGGAAATGAACGTCGAAGAACTCATTGTTAGACTTCGAATCGAAGAAGACAACAAGAGTTCCGAGAAGAAATGGTTCAATCATGATGTGGCTAAAGTCAATGTTGTGGAGTTTGGTCAAAGTAGTAAGAACTACAAAAACAAGTCTGGGCCATCCGGTGGCAAAAGAACCAAGCAAGGACCGAAAGGTGGAATTGTCAAGAAGAAATTCCAAGGGAAATGCTTTAATTGTGACAAAGTGGGTCACAAGTCTTCGGAGTGTAGATTACCGAATAACAAGAAAGAAGCGAACGTGATTGACTACATGGCACAAAATGTGTCGGAGCTGAATCTCGCAGCAGTCATTTCTGAAGTAAACATGGTGGGTTCAAACCCTAAAGAGTGGTGGATTGACATCGGTGCTACAAGGCATTTGTGCTCTGATAAAGAGATGTTTGATACGTTCGAAGCTGTTGAGAACAATTATTCTGTTTGGAAGTATAATGCAGCTACAAGTATGTTCTTGCTCCGTTCCATTTCCAATTCTAAGCAAGTAAGCAGAGAATGTTGGATCTAACTTGCCCTCATGTTTTCAACCAACAGTAGATGTGAATACAAAGGTCATAGGTTAGAGAAGACCAAAGTAGCCTTTATTATGTCTTTTTTTCCCTCTCGGCACTACCGGTAGAACTTGTTGAAAATCTCTCCCAAGAACTACTACTTTTTCACGAAAAGACAAGTTACAACTAGTAATATCTTTGAGCATTCTATCTACAGCTTCTACAGCACAACGATTCACCATAGGTGCTTCATCCCAATGTATTAGTTTTCAACAAAGTTACCAAAGCTGATTGCTTGCTAAAAAAGCAGCTAACTTCGCCATTCGACCTCCAGGTAAAAGAGATGCAAAAACTCCAGAAGATATAGTTGCCAAAGCAATTAAATTTTGGGACCTCACACCAATTAGGAAAGCTTTATATAAAAAGGTCTTGCCTATTCCTCTAGGACCATCTATGAAGAAGACCCCACTTGATTTTGAATTTACTTTTCCCATGATTGAATCATATGCAAATTGTAGTTCATTATTCAAGCTTGCTGCACAAGCGTGACCTCCTTCAATATCCAAAATTGTTGTCTCCTCTACAATCATTCTTCTCAACCTTTCATTCTCATCTATACCTTCACTGAATGACACCATTTCATAGTCATTTATATTTTTACCAAATGATTCTAAAACAGAACTGATGTCTTCTGAGACTTGTAGTTCAGCAACTTCTAGAGGCATATCCTCATGTATGTAATCATCAGTCATATAATCCTTGAATTTATCCCTCAACGACTTTGGATGATCAGGGTTGCAAAGCATAAGAACTGTAGCAAAAAGACGTTTTAAAGAAATAGACATTTCATAAATAATAGTTTCAGATAAACATTATTCATAATGATTGTCTCCGCTTAACAAACCATGTAAAATTACAGCTTCTCTGTATGTTCTAACAGTTTTCCTGTTTAAAGTGTGTAAATCTTGGAATGATGTTGGACCTTGAATATGATTGGGAAGAACATAGAGGAAATATCGCCTCCTTCAGATGGATTTGCTGTGACAATTCGTTCTATAACAAATTTTTTCTTTCTAGGAGTCCAAATCTTTTTAGTTGAACTTCAAA